TATATATATATATATGGTCAAGATAGCAATTAGTATGTGAAAAGGAGTACGTTTTGCAGTTATCGAGCTGAATACAGTGGCGATCCGTTCAGTGAGGATGGCGTGATATGGTCATTTAGCTATTTCTTCTCAAACAAATCACTCAAACGCGTTCTATTCATGTCATGTCGTGCACTTCGCACCGATCCATCACTCAATTTATCTGCTGAACAACTATGGGGATTTGAAGCATGATCAAAAATTGCTGACCGTCAATTATCGGTTACTATTGTTCATCTGCTACTCCAATAAAATCAAGCAGTATGCAACTGTTATTAATTCACTCTAATATTTCTACATTCCTAACGGTACCGTAAATTTTATTTTTAAATTCTTCGATTCCTCCTCTTCAATACATGTGATGTTACAGTTATTTCTCTGCTCCATCCATGTGTGGTTACGAAAATATAACCAAGCACTTGTGATTGTTTGTGCACATTTTCGAGATAGTACCATTCAAATCACAATATACATACTGTCATATTAACGTTAGTTTTAATGCACCTACATCTATCTTGTATTCGGCAGATCAAACCGAACAGCCATTTATCTGCTTCATTACACTTTTTTTCTTTTCTGTCATCAGTCTCCCAGTCCTATTATCGTCTGATCTTCAGTCTATCTTGCGAAATTAAAGTTAAAGCGACTGGTCGTGTTAACTTAATGATTTTATCTAATACCTCTGCATTATTTAACCGCTTCAGAAAAATCAGCATTTCACATTCTCATTTGATTTGAAGAGTTTCTTCATTTTACATCAGTTACGTTTTGGCTTGTTGTTTTTTCTGATCTTTAATTTGAGAGAGTATATACCACTAGTGTTTTTTTGAAAAAAAAATTAATACTGTATAAGTGGTGATCATATTCCTGTTTGATTGTCATCAGTTTATTTTTGAGACGTGGAGTTGTTGCTTTATTGGATGATGTATTCATGGATCATGAAATAATGGAAAGTTCATCTTCTGTCCCTCCGCGAGGGGTTTTGTTTAAATATTAGTTATACCGTTTATACGTTTCTGTTAGGATTTAAACGAGTTTTTGAAAAATGTATACGAAATCTGTTTGTCGAACATTCAGTTAATCATGAAGAATATTTATTCGTTTTGAATCTAATCAAAAATGATTTGGCTCATTTCAGTTATTTTGATTATTGACTTACCATTCACCGAAAGTCGATTTTTTAATTCGTTCTGAATATTAGCATTTTCAATTTACGTTGAAAATGATTTTTGTACTTTCATCGTTTGACAATTTGTGAGTTTTGGTTTTTAACAATTTGATATCAACATCTATAGATTCCTCGTTTCTCATTATGATTCCATTAGCGTTCTTACACATGTTCCTCATCAACATCCTTTGTTAAATAATATCCAATTTCATTGATATATTCATAGTTTCAGTTCATTTTTGTTTGTCAAATTTCAACAAGAAACCTTTTCGACCGTTTCCTGTTTGATACCATTTCTTGAGACTCTTCTTAAAAACCAGTTCAACTTTACTTGAAGTTGACAGAGAAATTTTACTTAATGGAACAAAATAAGTTATCTCCGTCTTGTTTTTCGAGTCTGAAAACTTGCAGTCAGCTAATTTATTTGTTCGTTTTTGGCAGAGGTTAGTATTGCTTCTTGTTTTTACAGTGCGAAATTGTTCATCTGGAATATGTTTATGATGAAATCAATATCTTTTGTTATGATCAATAATCTTTGTTTGATTGTGAATATCACGTTCTTCTGTTCGAATCATAATGTTTTTACTATGATATCAATTGATTACTGATGATATCATGCCTGTAAAGTTGATCTTGTTCCTGTACAACACAAGTGATCGAATAATTAGTTACACGAATATATCAGTAATGATAATCAAATATACGTTATTGTTTTGATTATTGTTTTCATCTACGTGATTATGTCTTGTCATTGAATTATGACAAAATGTTTAAGGATACGGATATGATACATATTGGAAATGAAATCTTGTTCTTGTTGTAGGCAATGTAGAAATACGAGAATTCCCTTCTTTTTTGAGGAAGAAAATTTTGTTTTTCGTGATTCGAATATTTGGTTTGTTACTGGATCTTTTTTTTAAATTTTGCATTCCACAACACAGAATAACTCTCTTTGTGCCAATCCGTTGTATTAGGTGAGGTGTAATGAAACAATCCCTGTATGCCACAAGTAAGCCTAAGCCTAGATCGGGGCGAACTCAGACCCGGAGTCGCTGTGACAATCTTAATCACAATGATTTAGTTTCTATGAACACTTTCACATCACCCTATTGTAACGACTTGATGATACACGTACAATCCGTTCCAAGTTAAAAGAATTTAATTCGAAATATAAAAATTCGCCTGCCGTAAGCTGAACATTAATCACGTAAGTAAACAGTCTTCTGCTTTGACTCATATGAACGTATTGGCGTCAATGCTCGTCTATGATTAGCATTGCATGTTGTAAAGCGTGTCGATTATGTGTTGTCATTTGTATCTTTTAATTATATATTTTTTTCGGTAGTGGATGAGCTGGTTTCATCCGATATCATTTTGTTTTGATGTAATAAATCTTTAATCGGTTCTTTTTGAAAATTATTTCATTTATTGGTGGTCGTTCAAACCAGAAAAAGTTTACATTTTCGTATTCATGATTTATAAACTGGTTTCGATTTAGTTTGTCTACATGAAATTTCAGTTACGCATTCGTACCTTATTGTTCGAGTTTGAAGGAGAAAATACAAGATCATTTTATTATATTGTTTGCATGTTTTGTCACTTAAAGGTTGCATTTTCAGAAATACAGATATTTCCGAGCAGAAACAGTCACACTAGTAGTAATATAAGAGATGCAACCATCGAGAATGGTCGAAGACAAGCAGCAAATTGCACCAATAAAATACGAATATTTAGACCATACGGCTGATATTCAGTTGCACGGTTGGGGTGATAAATTAGAAGAAGCAATTGAGCAGACCGTGACAGCGATGTACGCTTATATGACTGATATATGTACGGTAAATTGTGAATATTCATTTGATATGGAAGCTGAAGGGATTGACTTAATATCGTTGATGGCACGTATTCTCGATGAAGCGTTATTTGCGTTTTCAACCGAACCATTTTTTATTGGTCGAATCGTTGAGGTTCTGCAATTGGATCGGCAAAACTTCAAATGTAAAATACGCTGTTGGGGTGAATCATTCGATTTAGCCAAGCATCCACAGGGCACTGAAGTCAAGGCAATCACCTATTCGAATATGCAAATCAATGAAACGCCAGAAAAGACGGATATATTCGTAATTATTGACATTTGATCTGGACCATTCTCTAGTCTAATGTTTTGTCGCATATTTTTGCAATCGTTCTTTACCTCCTTTTCGTTTGGATTGTTTTTGAATGATTACTTTTGATGATGTTTACTTGCAACTTCGAAGATCGAAAGTCGAAGTTCATTTTTTAAAATGTTCTACACTGGAATCAGCAGTTTATTTTTTCTGTAGTATACCAAGCAGTTTCAAACTTTTCGTTCACCTCTTCTGAGTTTAGTTTCGTTCATTCAGCTAGCTTTCCAGTTCATTTGTTGTGCTCTTCAAATCGCTTCTAATGATTCAGTTTCGTTATCACCATTTCAACAAAATTCTCAAATCTTCGATTTTAATCTCTGTATAATATTTGACAAATCATCTTTTCAATGCATCTGCAATTATTGGAAATTATGAGCTGAATGCATATAAATGGTTTCGTTGCTATGAGTTATGTATTTGTGGCATGACAGAGGTGAATGTGATTTATGATGTTACCGTTGTTGATATTATTATTGTTGTTTCATTACTTTATACCTATTATCCATCTCTTTTCATAATTTTCTGGAGTCTTTATTAGAGTTAATGGATTGGAATTCAAGAATTTTCTCAGTTTGAGTACCTGTGAAAAGGCAAACCAGCCAACTGAGCGATCGATTGTTTACCAAATGAACGAAAATCGTGTATTCATAACTTCAAATGAAACATGAAATTAAGTATGTTTTCTTGAAAAATGAGACGTTGAGCTCAAGCGTTAATTTACGTCTATGTATATGTTAATCACATCCATCTAATTCAATTGAAATGATTATTTGAAACGTTATCCGATGTGTTATCGTTTTGTTTATGATTGCGTCTGAAGATTATTCATATTTTCAAAAAATATTTTCGCAGAAATAAAGTTTTAGATGGCCGCAGTGAACGTTGAAAAATGCGTTTTCAAGAGAAAATTGAAAAAGATGAAAGAAGCAACACGGTTCAAGAAACGTAAATCCAGTGAGTCGCAGCAACAGCTGAATCATAATCAGGTGATTGTTCATTTTTATGCGCACAACAATCGAAATTCCAAGTGTCGTTGTATTGTTGTTGCTGCCGCTGATAAGATTTCTAGGAAGCCGTCAAATTCTTTTCACATTTTTGTTCTCAAGAAATTAAACAACTCACTTCAAATGCCTTGCTGACGAAAGTTTGAAATCGTTTCCATGAACATGCAATTTTGTTATGTTGTATAACATCAATATAACAAATGTGCTTTAAAGCAGCACATCTGTTACATTGGTGTCAGATGAATCAATGTTCTATTCAAGGAAGATGATGTGAACGAAAGTGAGCAAAAGAATGAAATGGATAAGTCGATGGAGTGTAAAAGTGCAGTAGATAACGAACAAAGTTCATTGATGCAGTCATCGAATCTGAATATATACTTATCAGAATTGAATTTTGATTCGTTGAAAGATGTTGTTTCTGAGTCAACCTTATCAGCAATTCGACAAATGGGTTTTGAAACGATGACTCAAATTCAAGCTAAATCCATAAGACCGTTACTTGAGGTTATTACTTGTCGTTTTATACTCCTTTATTTCAGTTACGTATTCAATTTCAGTTCATTATTTATTATTTTCGTTCTTTGATAGCTTGAATTTGTTTTAAATTGCAGGGACGAGATGTTTTGGGTGCAGCAAAGACAGGAAGTGGTAAAACATTAGCATTTCTTATACCCGCAGTCGAATTGTTGGTTAAGTTGGAGTGGAAAGCACGTAATGGTACTGGTGCTATTGTTATTTCACCTACCAGGTTTCACTACTTCTTGTGTTATTATTATTATTATTATGTACGTCATAAAGTGCATATTGGTTATCAACGTACTGATTTTTATATTTGCCTCTCAAGAAGGAAATTGCGTGTTTGATTATATATAAAGTGGACTTGTTGGGGTTATGCAGTGAAAAGATTGTTTGAAGAGAGTTGTCGATGCAAACATATGGAGTGTTATGTGAGTTACTCGAGAAGCATCCTTCGATAACGCACGGTCTCGTAATGGGTGGTGCCAATAGACAAGCTGAAGTGCAGAAGTTAGCTAAGGGTGTTAACTTCCTCATTGCTACTCCTGGTCGTTTGTTGGATCATTTACAGGTTCCTTTCGAAATCTTCATTCTGCTATCAAAAAGACAGAAACGAATCCGTTGATAATATCTTTGTTGAATATATTTGAGCCGATCTATCTCATCATTTCTAACACCAAACCATTGTTTCGCGCGGTTAAATTTCTAACAAGTTTCTGTCAGTTGTCGCATTCATTTTGAAATGTCCAGTAGTCCATACTCAACACCACAAATAAAGATTGTTCATCCTTTTTTTCTGAAAATTCTTCCTCATTTTGTGATATAATGTCAAGAGAAAAAATTTTCCATCTTTTCAGAATACTGATGATTTTGTGGTTAGAAATTTGAAATGTTTGATAATCGACGAAGCAGATCGAATTTTGGATATTGGTTTTGAAATGGAAATGCAGCATATAATGCGTATTCTGCCAAAGAAACGTCAAACAATGCTGTTCTCTGCCACACAAACTGGAAAGGTTTATTATTATTGTTGTTTCCCGAGTTATTTGAATCAATATACAGATACGTTTAGATTGTGTTATGAGAAATAACTGCGTCGTTCTGCTCGAGTACTGTTAATGAACTGTTGATGTTTTTTCTTATTGTGAATCCTAATAGAAATTGAGTAGCTGGAATGCAGGTGAACGATTTGATCAACTTGGCACTGCAAACGGATGTACTTCGAATTGGCATCGATTCAGAAGAAACACTTCATGAAGATGGTTCTGCCACTGTATCTGGTTTACAACAGGTTTGCGCTAATTTGCCATCATTTTTGTTCAGTATTTATGAGCCTCACATATTTATATTCAAATGCATGAGCACTCGCCGAATGAAGAGGGATGTGGATAAGTAGTCAAAAAATAATCGGCTTCATAGTTTGTAATAATTTTTTGTGTTCATTCATTGCTTTCTTTGTTCATGTGTTGATCGATAATCATTTTCAGGGTTATGTTGTTTGTCCATCCGAAAAGCGATTATTGTTACTCTTTACTTTTCTTAAAAAGAACCGTCACAAAAAAGTTATGGTGTTCTTTTCATCTTGTAATTCAGTGAAATTTCATAATGAGCTCTTCAATTATATCGACATTCCTGTGCAATGCATTCATGTTCGTTTTTTTTTCTCTTATTCTCCTAAATCTAGAATTGATATGGCCAAATTTTCTCTTCACATTGCGCAAATTGCTGCAGTCGCTTTCTTCTCATTCATCTTCATCAGTCGGTATTTAGTTTTGTGCATCATTTCGGATCTAGTACAGTCCAAAATGTTGAGTAATACTAGCTTCAACAAATTCCCAACAAGATATCGAACAAACAAGATGAAAACCTATTCTAATATTTGAATATTTTTGGCATTATTGCCATTAAGAATGTTGGAGTGATGCCACAAGTTTATTTCTCAATGCGTTGTACAGGGTAAACAGAAGCAGCAAAAGCGTACATGTACCTTCTTCTCATTTTGTCAAGCCAAATCCGGTATTCTTTTCTGTACGGATGTTGCGGCACGTGGTCTAGACATACCTGAAGTTGACTGGATTGTACAATATGACCCACCTGATGAACCTCGTGAATATATTCACAGGTTACTTATTTGTTCATATCTTCATTATTCACTTCGACTCATTTGCCTATTTGAATTATCTTTATTCCACCTATCTTCGTACCATTCAGCCACTTTCCACTGCTTCTTCGAAATAAAACTGACGTCTGTTCAGATTATGCACTGGTCTGACATATGCCTGTACTGCATCCATTTTTGACTCATAAAAAACTATGTTTTCATTTCAGAGTAGGAAGAACGGCAAGAGGTGCAGATGCTACTGGTCATGCGTTGTTACTTTTACGGCCTGAAGAACTTGGCTTCTTACGTTATTTGAAACAAGCTCGTGTTGTTTTGAATGAATTCGAATTTTCATGGAGTAAAATTGCTAATATTCAACCACAACTTGAAAAACTCATCGAACAAAATTATTACTTGAATAAATCCGCTAAGGTAGTTCAGTTTTATGGTTATTATTATTATTATCATATTGGCTGCTCCCTACATAGCATTGTGTTTGAAAATGCGCCCGATTAAATTTTTAGCAGTGGTTACCATGCTGTATTCTTCATGCGTTAATTTATTTGTTCATTCCCCTGCGCGTCCGACCACACACATACATATTATCATCATGAGCGATTATTTGTTATTTTTATACGATTTTTGATTTGTGATTGTGATAATGATATAAATTATTAATTTTTGCTTCTTTTCATCATGTCTCTTGTTGCTATATGATGATTGTTTTATTACCATTCGAAAATGTTATTGCATATTGTGCAGTGTTAGCAATATTCCAGGAAGCGTACAAGTGCTATGTTCGCGCATATGATTCGCATTCGTTGAAATCGATCTTCAATGTTGAAACATTGGACTTGAACGCAGTTGCTAAATCGTTCGCATTCACTACGCCACCTTTCGTTGACTTACCGATCAGTCATAAACCGAAGGTTCATTTCATTTTACAAACGCATTTAAATTTCCTTTGTTCATTCGTTTATCAACTCTTCTTTTTTATTCTTTATGAACTTCTCCATAAGATTATTTATATAGTTTAAAATTCCATTTTAAAGTTTCGTTCATTTTCAATGCTAACAAACATGAAAAAAATCTGATTTTGTGGAGCAGTGATCTTGAATTAGTTTATGATTATCGTAAAAAATATTCTGACGATAGCAAATATCAAATTAGGCATTTAACGTCTCACAAAACACACACGACAAATCCATTCATTTGTCCACTTTTTCTCATTTATTGCATTGTAACACTCACTTATCACTGTTTTTCCTCAAATATGTTATTGATTTATTCTCTTGTTTTCGTTTGGATATTGATATACTTGTTGATTGATGCGCGCATCTGACCATCATTGTCAAAAAATGCTCTTTACAGTAAGGGTGATATTAGTAGATATATGATATGATAATAACAGCAATGATCGTTCATTCTGTTATCACATCTCTGTGCACTGTTGTCAAGAAACCGGGATGATGACTTTTATGGAAAGACTGAATGAGCAATTGAGAGTAAATGAACGAAGAAGTAGTTCGAATTGAATATGAGACTTCGATATCCGTTCATGTACACATCAAATAATGTCTCTGATCGTTGCTTGGTCGTATCAAAATTCCACTTGAACTATATTGTTCGTCTCATTTTTGATTTACTTTCCTATGCTGTCCATCGATTGCATTCATTTTTGTAGTGTTTATGAAAACTTGTTTGAATGACTTCACTGATGCAATAATTTTAAAATTTTAAGTTGGAGATTCGTTCAAAGTTAAGTGGTGCAGGTTACCGAAAGAAGCCGAAGGCATTTAAACAACTTCGTAAATGAGCAGTGCAAGCAACATCTTAAGATGAAGGACTTATCAGAATTGGATGAAGGTGATTATAATAGGTATTGGATTTTGGATGTGTTCGTTGTGGATGTTGTTGTGTGAGCGAGTTGTTGTTTTTATCAAATTCGGTTCAATTGTTACCATTATTCTTATCGAATTTATCGTTATTGTTGTTGTTGTTGTTGTTATCGTTTTTATTGTTACAGTTGCTAACAGTTTTACTTATTCTTGTTTTTCAACTTTTCAATTCTATGTTCC